ACTAGGAACAAGTGCATCGCTAGTAGTAACAGGTGCCTTACTAGTAGGCACTCTTTCGTGCACCGTTGGAGGACACTCTTGTGTCGACTCTTCGGCACTCTGCACTCAAACGTGCACTGGCCAAAAGCGAGGCGTCAAGCCTTGAAAACGAGCGAATCAGCGAATCCCAATGGCACAGAGAGTGACACAAAACGCTGCACCTGCAAAATCAGCCGTCACGCTTGCAAAACTCACATTTCATCACGGTTCTACTCTATTTCACACGGTTCTGACATGTCATCCATCCACTGACCTCTCCAAAAAGCTTCTCCCAATGGAAGTTTATCAACGAACGCTGAGTCACACGATGAGTTGGCGACAAGACACACGAGAGACCCCAGCTTGCAGACGACAGAAATGAACGCAAAGCAAAAAAGTAAATAACATGACAGGTGAACAAAGTGCCAAAAACATGCGTGTGCAAAATCTATGAAGGACGGTGTTTCAGGAGCTGCAGGGGTCTCTCCCCTTTACTTGTAAGGGGAATTGAAGATGTACATAGATGATCATAGATGTACAGACCCTTGCAGCTTTCCTCCGAAATCACGGGAGGAAACACTACCCTTCGGAGAAAGAACAAATGGATACAAACACAGGAAGGCGAACGCGTGAGGGGTGGGGAGTCCGATACAAGATATGTAGTGAGTTTTGCCATGTCCATCCCCAGCAACGCACAACTAGAGTAACTAGAGTTGTGTTAGCTGTCAAATGTGTGAATATAGGCTTGTGTGAAGATGATTTACTATAAAGTTGACTACAGTAAAAAGAAGGACCTGATGTGACAATGTTGTGCAACAATGAGCTTATGCAACAATGACATAATTTATCATACAAGTAATTGTTGAAGAACCTTTCGCCATACTTTCACGCAAGAAGCAACATGAAAACAATTCCGCATTCTCCGAGCTATAGCTCCATGAATGTTGGCAACAATGTCGTGTTCAATAAATTTTTGGTGTAAAAACATGTCTCTTGACAGGGGAAGTCGACACAAGAACTGGGCCTCTTGTCGAAGGTGGTCCGACGCTGAGGATGCCTTCAATTACGCCAAGCGTATCGAAGCGTGTCTTGTACTAGAACAAAATGTGACAAGTGCTTCTTTTGTGATTACCTAGCTCAGGTGTTTACGCTGCAATGATGTAGCTGTATCCAAAAGGTGCAAGAAATGTCGAAAAGTTTAAACAAAAGAAATACAAAACAAATATCAGATGTTGCTGAGCCTGAGATGACAATAGCCACAGTTGGTGCCCTGAGGGCAGCTGGCACGGTGAGCTGCCACGTAGACGCAAGGACGGCGACACATCCACGGGTGCCCAAGACTGCCCAAGCTTGCCTCATCGGACAAGGACGGAAAGAGAAACAGGCGAAGTTGACCCAAAAGAGGGCTACCTGTTACTACTAGTAAGGCACCTGTTACTACTAGCGTGGCACTTGTTTCTACTAGCTTCTTGTTCCTACTAGTAAGGCACTTGTTACTAGTAGCGATGCACATTGCTACTAGTAGCTTCTTATTACTAGCAGTAAGGCACCTGAAGAACTCGTAAAAACATGAGTAAATGAAAATGTGTCAGAATGAAACTGGTTTGGCTCTATAGATAACCACTGGCAAAGCTTTTGGATTGGGCGAGCAAGGGTGAGCTCTCAAACATCACACCCTATCCCAGCCATTTCCAGCCTCCGTCGCGGTTGATCCATCCGAATCGCCTTGGGAATATGACGATTGATTCTTAGTAGAATGCTTTTTTAAAGTTTGTGTATTTCTTTGTTTTCTGTTACTTTTCTTTAGACGTTTAGATCTTAGAAGTGCTCCTTTCTCGTTTCTGTATCTGTAATTCTGCTCTGTGACTCTATTCCTTGAAGCCTTGACTTGAGACACTCTAGACTGCGGTGTCTCCTTCCCCAAGGAGACTTTGTCACTGATTTCCGACAAACTCGCAGGGTCGTCTACGGCTGAGCAAATGACTTTCGCTACTGGGAGCAAAGGGTATCGCTACTAGGAGCAAGGACGCTACTGGGGGCTCCTGGCCGTACTACTAGGAGCAAGGTTGCTACTAGGAACCTTGGCAGATGGCAGGGCTGAGCAAATAACTTTCGCTCTTCTTCCTTGCCTTCTGGACTTTCCCTGACCGGTGGCACATGGCCCACTGCCATGATCAAATCCAAGTGAGCTCAAAGGACAAAAGCTAAACTGCTCAATAGATTCTCGAAGATGCTTGGAAGCTCGATGCACCTGCAAGCTTCACGAACTTGGGCTCTTGCTGACCCACCTGAATTCGATATGGAGCAAGGCTGAGAAAGAAATGGATTTGTAAAAGTAACTCCCTGAAAGACCCCCTGTGCTTTCAATGCCAAGGGGGTTCGAAGCCCAGGTCCAAAGCTAAAGCATATGAGTGCTCAAACTGAATGTGTTTGACGGCAGCCCATCAGTCTCTTGTCCCATTGGCAACTGTGCACATTCACGGAGGCGCTGCTATAGCTGGGCTTCGCACGTTGGAAAAAGCATGGCCATTGCTCTCCACAAAATTCCAAATGGACATCATATCACTGGGCTGAACCTGAAGAATGCCACTCAGAGAACGCCACTCTTGCGTGCTCTTGACCATTCAGCTCAGGCTTTAGCTTTCACTAACCTAACCATCACAGTCACTGGTATAAAAAATTGTTGTATGCAAAACTCGTCCTGGAGCTTGCTACGTTAATAAGGACGCTACTAGCGGCTCCTGGCATCGCTACTAGGAGCAAAGACGCTACTAGGGGCTCCTGGCCGTACTAGGAGCAAGGACGCTACTCGCCACGGACTTCGCACCTTGCCTTCATGGGCTCGTAGCCCCAGGTGATTTCATCATCGTAGCCACGCCAAGTAGCCATGTTTGGGACTGATGGACAGCCAGACTTGCCAAATGTCTGAAGCAGTTGAACACAACACAAGTCGCGATGGAAGTATCTTAGATTCGAGTATACTCCGATTCAGGGTCTGGCAGTCCAGGTGAAACAACCTCGGAAGAGGTGTCGTTTACGTAGCGGTCCTCTGGTTGTTTACAGAGACCGAAGCTGCAAGCTTGAGCCAGCATTGCAGGGTCAAAGCATTGACCAATCAGACAATGCCCAACTGACACACAGCAGATAAGGGTTTCACAAAAAGCTGGACCCTGGGGCCCTGTGGGGGCCTCGGAAGTGTAAACAAAGACTGGGTGATCTAAACTCTGAGCAAAATTAAGCGGCTCTTGCACCCTTGGCGTCTTTTCAGGAGCCGGATTGCAAATTCTGAAGTTCAAATTATGAAAATATAATATAGGATGGCAAGCGTCCCGGGAAGTTCAATAAGAATATGAATTGGATGTTGAATAAGGATCATTACGGATCTATAGGCTCAACAAAACGGGCAAAGCGGAAGAAAGGAGGACTCTCCACAGAGACTTCCCGTCTCCTTCCGCGCACGCAGCTTGATCTTGCTGTGGCGCCTGGGAGCAGCGATTGAGGATGTCCGTTGAAGTTTAATGTTGTTAAGGACAAAATGACCTAACAACCCAGGCGAAGGAAACACCTTGTGAAGACCTGGCAAGATAAAGCCAATAGTTTCTAGCTATACATCGCTATGCATCGCTACTAGTAGCTAAGGGCATTACCTTCAATAGCTGGATGCAGAAGAACGGGAGATCTTCAAGGAAATATCTGCCTGGGGCCTGGGGGCGGGAGAAACTTCCCTTCCCATGATCGATGGTTCCTAGATTTGAGGAAATCCATAGAAATCCATGCTGGGCGTTGCTCGGGGGAACTCCACAGATCGTTCCTCTTCTCGCCTCAAAAGGATCGGCAAGCTCCATGGAACGCCCCAAAGCGCTTCCGGCAGTACCCCGACTCTGCGAACTGGAGGAACTCCGACAACTCGTTCTCCGAAGCTCCGTTCGCTCCGCTTGCTCCGCTTCCAGTCCGCCGCTTGCCCAGTTTGCACCTGCCAGGCTGGCCTCAATTTCTCAATGGACGCAGCTCGTCTTGGACGCAGCTCGTCCTTGTCTCGTTTTCCAAAGTTCGATCTTCCGACTCGTCTTCCAAACGTTGCTTGAACCAGACCTGAATGACCTCTGATGAAGCTGTGTTTGAGCTTGAAAAAGCACTGCACTTAAGGAACGGGCTGGCAGAGCTGGCTCAGGATGCACCCAGGCCACAACATGGGATGTCCATTATTGTTCACAATGACCCCAGAACAATTGAAGAAGCACAGCCTGGCTTCATCTTTATTGCAAGTGAAGGCTTGAGCGTCATGCACAATATCATTCTAGCGCAAGCATTTTCATCGCTGATGTCCTTTCCGGCAATTCTTCAATCACCGTTAAAGGAGCTTGGAACATCTTGAAGCCATACTTTGCTATCAAGCTTTAGGAATGGCCTTGATTCAAAAGAGGGTCACGGCACACGAAGGCTTGCTGGTCATTGCATACCGATTTGCAAGGCTTTTGGGAAATAAGGA